AGGGATTTCGCCGGAGATGGGGACGGAAATCTTCGGAGATGGGGACGGATTTCGCCGTAGAGAGTGAGAGATGGAGATGGGACTCAGTTGTGATTTTAGGTTTTAGGTTATGAGTTGCGATTACGGGATTTTGTCTTAATATTCGTTTTTGTAATTTGAAAATAAAATACGCGTAGCGATTATAATGGCGCTTTAAAAATCGCGTTGCGATTTACGGATACGCGTTGCGATTTTACGTATTGTCGTTGCGATTTACGGATACGCGTTGCGATATACGGATACGCATTGCGATTTACGGATACGCGTTGCGATTTACGGATACACGTTGCGATTTACGGATACGCGTTGCGATTTATGTGTTCGCGTTGCGATTTTCATATTCGCGTTGCGATTCTGGAAAATCGCAATGCGAATTTGTACTATCGCATTGCGATTGTCAAGAATCGCGTTGCGATTTTGGAGACTGATTTGCGATTCTGGGGATCGCGTTGCGATTTTTATTTCGCGTTGCGATTTTGTTGGTCATTTTGGCAAATCCAAAAAAAGTTGGTTAAAATCGTATATTATAAGGCATTTTTTGTCACTGAGGCGATTTTCTCAAAAAGAAAAGGGTGGGTTGGAGAGGCCAATAAGAGTGGGACCGTGAGAGTGGGGTGAGGAGTTTGTGATTTAGAGTTTGTAGTATAATTTTTGGGTTGGGTATAATTTTAAATTTACTTTTTTAATTTAATTATACATTAATAAAATAATAATAAAAATTAAATGTCAAAGAATATTAATAATATAAATTAGAGTGATTAAAACATGAGCAATTTAAAATTTGAATAGTTATATTGAAAATTTTAAATTTTAGTGACCAAAATAGGAGTGAGAAGATAGTTGAGTGATGAATAATTAATTTACCCATAAAAAATATCATATAGACTACACTTGCCTACACACTTAACCGAGCTAACCCCTATCCAGTGCCTGGCAGAGCAAAGGCGACCTCAATCCTTATTCCTTATCCCCATCTTCTCCCAGGCTAACAGGGCCTTACTTATTCAGAAGGGAGAGGGGAGCCTCGAGAAGCACTGTTTAGAGGAATATCCTTGGCTGCTCTTCATTTCCAAACCTTTCTTCAACGCTAATCATCGAGCATAACTCTAACACAAGGCTCCAAATCTGATACTGCATGGAGTTATGTCGTTTGTGCATGCATGGCTCCTTTGACGTGTTACGACAACATTTAGGGTGGAGGAAGAACGAAAGCAGATGCTGTCGGTGAATGAAAACCACCTTTTGGAAAGGTTTATATATGGTAACTCCTTTCCTTTCTTAGTGAACGTGGCATGACAAATCCCTCACGCGTGTGCTGCAGCACGTCGTCCGGCTGATTTGGTTCCATTTGTGCTCGTATCCATGGAATTACATGTTGAATAATATACTTTTGGAGAAAATCCATAAAACTAAACATAATATTTTCTTCTAAGGCAGTGCTAACAATGAAGAAATTGCCATATGCAGCAACTATTTCATCTTCTTGTTTTCAACCTGTCATCTTTACTGCATTCTGAATTAGTAATTATGGGCCCAAAAGCATATTCTACAAAAAAGTTATCTAGTTGGAGTTCATGAAGAAGGATCTGGGTAAGGATCTTGTCAAAACTTGAAACAATTATTATGTGAATTTCCCATTTTCTTCATCAATAGTATAAATCAAACAACCTCATTAATTAAAAATAATAATTATTATCTATTGAGTTCTCTAGTTCATGTGAGCAGGGATTTAGTAACAGAAAGCTTGTGAACAAAACAGCTAACTGTGTCGCAAGACCTGTTCATGAGTTTTTATCTGCCCATCAAAACGAAATCTCCAGCTACAAAATGAAGCTGGACATCAGATACCATGGGCAACAAACATAGCAGATAAGTTTGAAGAACTGGAATTTATGTCTGACTTATTCAAAGAAAATTAGATTTAGGGAAAAAAAGTTGAGCAATCTCAGTCGAAAGATGGTGATTATTTATAATCATCACAGATAGATCAGGTCTGATGATTCATGTCCATCATAGATTGCAGGAAATAGCAATAAAACGCTACAAGAAATCACTTAAAAATTGACCCAAAATCTAAGGGATATGCACAAGAGATCAGATGGTAGTGCATGTTGTTATTCAACATTCAAATGCAGAAATGATGGATTAGCATCATCACACCTCTTTGCACATTTCAAAGAATCAAACAATTTCAATTCAATCAAAAGGGGAAGATCAAAATTAAAGCGGAAAAAGAATCAGATTGGAATGCCAATCACCAACTTTGCATATGAAGACATTAGATATATGCAAAGTAAGACTGGGGCGACAATAACTATCATCATCTTCACTTCTTCCAGATAAACAAAGCTCCAGATAAAACCCTGGGAAAAAAATTGAAACCTTAAGCTGCTTGAACCTATTCTTTACAATCTCCTTACTTAGAAGCGACATCATGAACCATATAGAAACGATGGATAAGAATGTTTGAAGGGAAATTAGGGTTTTGGTCTCTGATTTGCGGCGGATTGTATAGTTGCCTTGAAGGGTGAAGTCTTCTTAGGATTTTCCTTGGAGATTTAGGGCTTGTTGGGATTATATAGTGGTTTGGATTGTGGGCTGTGGCTTTGTGGGTTTTTTTTTACTGTTCCTTTAGTACCTCTACTTGTGTTGAATTAAATTCATGTCGTCTTGTTTGTAGTATTTTGCAAATTAATCCCTCATGAAACGTTTAATCTAATTTCAATAGGATATTCGATCTAAGTTTTGATCGACTCTGTGTTTGTTCCTATCTTCGAATGTGATATCTCTGATCGAATCGAGTTTATAATATTACATTTGTTGATATCTTAATTCTTTATTGTTGAATTTGAGATATATGGTTAGTTAAATTCAAATATCCTAATTATTGATTTAAGTAACTTGTAGCCTCAATCAAGTTTTTATTATATTTTTTCTTCTAATTAATATTAAAAAATATTATTTTAACTCAACTGTAAAGTCGGACATGAGTTCCAAGATAAGTTTAATCTAACAGTAGTTACCTTCTTTAGTTATTCTTTAGTTTTATAAGTTCGCATCTTATAAAATTTTAGAAGTTCATCATTTAACATAAAAAAATTACTTCTTATGTTCGTAACAATTAAATAAAAATTTTACTTCTTACGTTCGTAAGAGATTGTTAGTAGTACAAAAAAAAAAACTATATCTCACGATGGTTAGATACAAACTTTTTTAAGTGCAAAACTAAAATGTTTTAGTCACACATCGTTCAAAAAATTTAATAAAACTAAAGACATGATTCTTTTTTTTTTCAACGATTATGTGACATTAACTTATGATGACACGTTAACATTATCGTTAATTTTTTAACGATTAGTGACAAAAATGTAACGTTAGTGATTATTTTAAAAAAATTAAGTGACCAAAACGAAACCGAAATGATAGGTCGGTTACTAAATATGTAGTTTATCCATATTTTAAATATACTTTTTATTTATTGATCGGTAATAAGACACACACACAAATATATGTTTGTAAATGAGACGAGACAGATCACGAGCTACTCAAGATCGTGACTTGTTCAATCAACTCTCAACTTGAATTTTTAACGAGCCTAAACGAGATACTAGTTACACAATCAAAAAACTCATGAGCAACTTGAAAGAATAATACATTAAAATTTTAAATTAAGTTATTAATAATGTTAATATTTATATGTTGTTGTTTTTTTTGTTTTAAATATTATATAAGACTTTCATGTACTTATGGTTTATGTTTGAGCTCGAGTTAGAGCTTTAATCGAGATAAGTCTAAAAATATTTCGAGTTCAATTCTTTTTGAGCTCGAGACGAGCTTTAATTTTTTATTTCGAGTCGAGCTTGATAGTTTTAAGCTCGTGAATTTTCGAGTTGACTTATGTTTTATAATTTTTGAGTCGATTCAAGCTTGATTTTACGATTTTCAAGTAAAGTCGAGCTCAATTTGACAATTCTCAAGTTGAGTCAAACTCAACAATACTTGAGCTTGACTCCGCTCATTTACGAGCATGTACGTGTGATATCTCCTTCTAATCCATATTCATTTTAACACGTAAGCTATATATTTTTAGGGTAAACTATGCGAATAGTCCCCTATGTGTTCGGTCCGACCAAATTTGGACACCAATGTAAAAACTAAGAAAAAATTATCCTAACGTTATCGATCTGTTCGATTTTAGTCATAGTATTATCGATATGTTCGCTTTTAGTCCCTTATCTGTTAACTCTCGTTCAATTTTAGTCACTTAACCATGTTAGGGACTTAAACAAAAAGGGGATAACGAAAATTAATAGCAGATATACTTAAATCAGACAGACCGATAATGCGAGGGCTATTTACCTTTAATTTTTAAATTGGTGACCAAATTCGATCAGACCCTAAATAAAAGGGGCTATCCGCATAATTTACCCTATTTTTTATTACGTGAAGATATGTTACATTCATAGGATAAATATAATAATTTGAACTCATACAAGTTGAGATAATACAAACCATCTTTAAACAATTAATCAATTAATATATCTCTACTTGTTATAATTTTTTTTCCTTTTTTGTTTTGTTTTACCTTCTTATAAAAGCAATATATCTTTTATTTTTTTTTAGATCTATTGTCCTTATTCGATCATTCAAATTTGAATATAAAATATTACATTAATCTTATTAATTTTTTATAAGACAATAATGCCGCAACACAATAAGTCTATTTTTATTTATTACTATTCATTCATTATTTCAATAATTATTAAATATTTATCACAAATAAATATCTTGGAGAATGATTCAAGAAAATGGAGGGTATTTGAGGTGGATGGGGTCCGTGCGCACAATGAATGTGCACCGTCTGGTAGCCTCGAACCCTGAACCGTTCACGTGGCGCCATGCCTTTCGCTCCAACTAAGCTCCAAATCGGACTCATGATTAAAGATCAATCCGCATCTCCATTGACACAAACGGGTGCAGTCGAGGTTTTTCATCACCGAGAATGAAGAAAATGCTGACACTTTCAATCTCTCCAGCACCGCAATCTCTTCACATTTCCACTGCACGGCATCTACCCGTTCTTCCTTTCCGAAACGCGCCGTTACCAGCTTCAACGAAACTCTCCACTCTCGCTCCCTCTTCTGCTTGGATCAGTTTCAATCCTCTCAGGTAATTTTAATACTCAATTCGAATCAATTTCGGGAAAATGAAGAATGCTTTCTTTTCTTTTTTTACTTCGAAATTGAATTTTGTAGATTTTCGATTAAGGATAAGGACATAAAGAAGAAGAGTAGAGGATCCAGTGCGGTTTGCTCCGCAGCTCCTCTCTCCCCTCGTAATCTCCAGTGGATCTCCGCCATTTCTTCTGCGTAAGTCTTGTGATTGGTTGCCTTTTTATTTTCATTTTTGTGAAGAAAAAACATAATTTCTTGAAGTGATTTCGAGCAGGATTTTGTTGTTTACGAAAGGGACGGTGATTCGAAAACATTTTCTTGTTCCATTGTTCGCAATTCAAGCTCCAGCAAGCATCATTGCATGGATGAAGTAAGCAAAAGTTTTCTTATCCTTTTGTAATTCTATTGATCAGTTTCTATTTCAGCTGACCTCAAATAGTAGACCTGTTAGTTGGGTGGATTGGATTGTTATTGAAGAAAGTCAATCTAGGTCAGCGGAATTTGGATTTAAATTTTTTGAATCATTTCTGGTTCAATCAGTTGGAAACGCCTTTCTATTTTTTCCAAATCGAATGGATCATCTCGGGTTTAGGTCGTTCTAGTTTCGGGATTCGACAGGCCTAGATAGAGTCAAACTAGTACCTATTTTTTCCATTCACAAGATTTGAAACTGACCTTACTTAGCAGACACAGAGCATTGTACCACTCAGACCGAAGTACATTTTTTATCTTTAAAAACCTTGTGATTGATGATCAAATTTGCAGGGGTGAATATGGTCTTTGGGCAGCATTCTTGGCACTGCTTGTTCGTCTCTTCTTCTTCATTCCTGGTAAATTATTTCTATGTTACTATGTATATTGATCCCAATAGAGATTCTACTAGTTGGTTTCAATTCAAGATTTTGCTTTTTGGGGGGTTTGATTGTGTTGTAGTTCGATAAATTCGGATTGGTTTTACCGTCGAATGATTGGATTGGATTCAATTTCGGAATAATTTGGCCATGAATATGGAACCATGGATATATTCAATCATGATATTCTGACAGTTTATTTTGTTTGATAATGATAAAGTAATCTTTTCTGTTACTAGGTGAACTTGAGTTGCCATTTCTAGCATTATTGTTGGTGATTGTGGCCCCCTACCAAGTACTGAACATAAGGTTAGTATGATGTGTACTACTTTAGGCAACTTGATGATATCCTCCACGTTGCTTCGACTCTTCATTTATATTGATTGAAGTATCTTTTTTCGGGACATTGGACCTTCCTAATACATGGAAATCTTATAAAAAATTAAACTTATCTGTGTGGGGTACATATGAGTATCTGACAATCTAACTTGACTCTGAGAAACATGATACTTATATTTGATGAAGTTTATGCATTTTTGTTGTTTCATTGACAGGGGAACACAACAAGCTGCTATTATTGCCTTAGTGATTGCAGCATATTTGGCTTTCCAGCATTTCTCAGGTGCAGGCAGCTTGCAGAAAGCATTTGACCAAGGTTCAATTATTGCCACCATAGCTGTTGTTTGCATCACTGTTATCTCGGGCTTGCTTTTGGTCTGAATTTAACAAAGAATATAGACGTCTTTCAAGTTATTGAAGACATAGAGGGAGGTTGTACTGTAAGAATAACTAATTTCCCAGACCAATGTTCTTGTTTTAGTATGATGAGTACATTTCATGCTGAGAAAAATAAGAATAAATATATGTTCTTTAGTATTTGTATGCTACTGTTATGTCAATGGAAGATAGGAACCGCTTTTGAAATAATACAATTTTAGCTTGCAGTGGAATGATTGTATTTTTATAGTTCTTAGATATTTAATTGGATCTGGATACTATATTTATTTATTTGGTCGGAAAAATGCACATCTATTCTATTAACGGTATTGGTATCGACATGAAATGATAAATTTCCATACGTTTGAGAAAATACTGCTATGCTAGGCTGCTAGCTGATGAATGAGTATAATTTAGTATTTAAAATAGTAATAAGAATGTATGTATACAGTATATATGTGCATTTTAATGAGCTAGCTAAGCATTCCTAGATCTCATTAACTTATTATTCTAACTATAATTCTGAGCAAGCAGCTATGATAACATCTATGAATGCCAGAACATAAGATATTCTATGATGTTCATATTTTCCTCCTGCTCCAGCTTTTATGCATGCATAGATCAATAACTATAGCTATAGATCTTAATGTATCGAGGCCACTGAGATGATCATCTCATTGTTGGTTCTCAAAGATTGTTGTAATGCTAAGGAACCAACGGAATTGCGATCTTGGCTCTGAAAGTTGATTCACTCTTGCCTAGAGTATGTTTGCAGCGACAAGCAACCACATCAGACTTATCGTCATATAGATAGGCCAAAACCAGAATGACACTGAGATGGCTGAATTGGGGAGTCCGGTAGGTCCTGCTGAACCATAAACTGTGTCTCCACCTGGCCCAGTAAACGTTGGCGGGGTCATGCTGAAGGGTGGAGCCATGGTGGTGGTACTTGGTGGGGACATGGTGGTTGGTGGTGTCTTGCTAGCTGGTGGATTCACACTATTCATTCACATGTTTAGAAGGAAAGAAAGCAGTAAGCTCTTTGTTCTCTTTGTATGGAAATTTAAAAAGTAAACTATCTTACGGATCTTGTACTATAATAGGCTTATGTGAAAAAATTTAGTCCCTCTACTATGAAAATAAGTGATTTAATCCTTGTACATTTAAGCTAACATGGAAAAGGATGAGCAATTTAGTTATTGTATTTTAGAAAATGTAGATTCTTTTAATACTTCAATTTAAAGCACTGCAATTCAGTATTGTTTAATGTTTTTTTTCTTTGAAATTAAATGTATAGGACTAAAAATCTGGTTTTTAGAACTAAGAGGTTTGATATTCAGCTTATAATATAGGAACCAATAAGATAATTTAACCATTTAGAACATTTGGTTATAAGATTATTACCCTGCTGACGAGGATGCTGCGTATTGACAGTTTCCAGTACCTGCACCAAAATATTACATATTAATGCTAAATGTTGTCTAAAAGTTAACCGTTAGCACCCATAAATGATATCTTACTTGGATTGGTGTTAGTGAGCTGAGCTGCTCCTCCGAAAACGCAGTTGGTCGGATCCGGATGCTTTTGGTAGTAATCATTGAAAGCATAAGAAGCATGATTTTGAACAGTGTTCGGTTCATAACAACTCCCACCAGTTTGAATTGCAGAGCAGTCTGCACCATAACCACAAGCATAGTCTAGAGCTACTTGTAGTGCGGTTGGTGAAGCACCTTGATTTGCAACACACCACGTCCCTCCCGATGACGACGGCGGAGTCGATGTTGATGGAGTAGTGGTTGGGACAGTGGGAAGAGTCGGGGAGGGATTTTTGTCGGGTAATGTCGGGGTGGGGATGGTCGGGGAGGGATTTGTGTCGGGTAATGTCGGGGTAGGGATGGTAGGGGAGGGATTCGTGTCGGGTAATGTCGGAGTGGTAACGGGGGTAGTAGGGTTGGTGATGGGCTCAGTTGAGGGGGATGCTGGAGATGAGGTGCTGCCTGGAGGAGTTGGGTTAACAACGGGGACATTGTCTAGTAGTGAAGTGGAAATTGAAGGGGCAAAGAGTACCCTAATGTTTTGTTTTGGATTGTTTTCTTGGGGAGGAGGTTTGTACGAAACACTTGAACCTGAAGAGATCAAGAGCAAAGCCAAAGGTAAGGGTTTCCTCCTAATTGAACATGTTTGATAAGATAAAGAATGAAAATAAAGAATTAGTGAGCCTATTCTTTTTTTTACTATCATTCATTGCTTTGGTTGTTTAGTCTATACCCTATCAAAAATGTTGCATCTAAACATTTGTGTTGAATATTTAAGAATGAAAATTTGAGCAAACCCATTTAGTGCTAAAATAAGAGTAATACTATATGTATGATTTACCTGAATAGAGGAAAACATGGAAGAGAAAGATTGAGAGAAACTGAACAAATCTTGAGTTCATGTCTTGAAAATCTATTTGCTGAATAATATAGAAAGAGGAAGACCAATTGCAAACAAAAGGTCTCTATTTTGCATAAATAAACAAAAGTACTTCGAAAAGAATCAATGCTTCCTTGGAGGGATGATAGATTGAAATGTGAGAATACAAGGAAACTTGAGAATAGAGGCATTTGATTGTTGGATCTAGAAAGCAAGGAAAAATGCAAAAGGGTTTTATGTTTGGTTTTTGAATTTTATTTTAATGTTATCATTTAGGTACCTCGACCGTAATAGACATTAAAAAAAATTATTTTTCAAAAAAATTCCCAAAAAATTTATGAAATCTCCAAAAAGACTCAAAATCCTTAATCTCCAAGCATCCATCCCACCTGTCGATCACCCACCGTCGTTGCCGCCCCCAACGACTGCCTTCTACCCATCCTCCGGTCGTCGTTAATCGTGGCTTCAAATCCCTAAAATCCCTAAATTCTAGTATCCATCCATCCCAATTGGTGGATGGGTGGTCGATGGGATGGTGACCGACATGTGAGTCGATTATCATTGACGGCGGTGGTGGTTGACGCCAGAATTGAAAGTCTTGGGGCATTTTATGAAAAAATGGAAAAAGTTTGATTTTTTTTTGAAAATTTATGAATTTTATTTTTAAAAAAATAAAGAAAATAAAAAATCATGCCACATGTCAAATATTGATTTATTTACTTATTTTTAACGGGTCTTTTTAACGATCGTTACGGTGTAGGCACTTAAATGATAACATTAAAAAATTAAACACTTAAATTTTGACAAAAAAGTTTAGACACTTAAATGGGAAAAAAGATATAGTTTGAGCACTTATTTTTATATTAAACCTTTTAATATATCTATTTTTTTAGGAATAATATATCTAATTATTAGTTAAACAAGTTAATGTAGCTTTGTCGGGTTCAAACCCGGATCCGAAACGGATCTTATTTCGGACTGACCAAAGGGACCATCCTTTCTAAGTATTTCATTTTCCAACTGACCCTGATCTCAAGCTAACTAAACCCTAAGACTACCTTCAAAACAATGGCGTTGTTCTCCCGCATCCGTACACCGGCAACCGCCGCATTTTTTCGCCTCCGCCACTTCTCAATCCTCTCTCAAGACTCCTCGACCCCTCTCACCTCTCACCAAAAATCACGCGCCGCCCTCTCCCTCCTCAAATCAGAGCAAAACCCCGAACGCATCCTCGAAATCTGCCGCGCCGCCTCACTCACCCCACTTTACCACCTCGACCGAGTTGCTTTCTCCGTCGCAATCTCCAAACTCTCCGAAGGAAACCATTTCCACTCCGTCGATACTCTACTCCGTGAACTCCGTTCCCGTCCCGACTTACAAAACGAACGTTTCGCTTCCCATTCATTAATCCTCTACGGGCAAGCCAAGATGCTAAACAATGCCTTAACTGCGTTTGGCGACTTTTACAACGAGGGGTTATGCCGTTCTACGAAATCCTTGAACGCTTTGCTTTTGGCGGCGATTATAGCGAAGGACTATAAAGAAGCGAAGAGGATTTTTGTGGAATTTCCTAAAAGGTATGGCATTGAACCTGATTTAGAAACGTACAATACTGCGATTAAGGCATTGTGTGAATCTGGGTCTTCGACTTCTGTTTATTCCATTTTGGTTGATATGAAAAGCAAAGCGATTAAACCAAATGCCACGACATTTGGTACTTTGTTAGCTGGGTTTTATGCTGAGGAGAAATACGAAGATGTTGGGAAAGTGTTGAATTTGATGAAGGAACATGGGATTCCTATTGGGATTAGTACGTACAATATAAGGATCCAGAGCTTGTGCGTGTTGAAGAAATCTAATGAGGCTAAGGCTTTACTCGATGGGATGCTATCGAAAGGGATGAAACCGAACTCGGTTACATATAACAAATTGATATATGGGTTTTGTAAGGAAGGGAATTTGGAGGAAGCTAAGAGGTTGTTTAAGAGCATGGTGAATAGAGGTTTGAAGCCTGATAGTCAATGTTATTTTACTTTAGTGCATTTCTTGTGTCAAGGTGGGGACTTAGAGACTGCTTTGAGGATGTGTAAAGAGAGTATGGAGAAGAAATGGGTTCCGAATTTTTCGACTATGAAATCTCTTGTGAAAGGACTTGCTAGCATATCTAAGGTTGAGGAGGCCAAGGAACTTATACAGAATGTTAAGGAGAAGTTCTCCAAAAAAGCAGATATGTGGGATGAAATTGAAAAGGATTTGGTAAGCTAGTCTGGTCGAGTTTGCGAGGAAATGAAAATTATTAGGGCCTTTTTTCTCATGCAGTTGGATTTCATTTCCTTTTGTTTGTTGAATTATTCTGCATCTCCTGTTTTACTAGGATTATTTTGGAAATGGAACTGTCCTCCAATAACTTTCACTTTTTTTACCAAGACTTGTTTTGTGAGTTATTTTAGATGTCCTGGAACCATCCCTGTAAACAGTTACCTTGATTTCTGAATGAAATCTGTTATCAAGTTGATGTTTATGATGGAATTACAACTGGTTTTACTTAAGAAACTCGACAACGATCAAGGTAAAGGCAACTAAGGTTGATTGAGATATATTATTGATTGGATGGTGTAGTCTATGGAGCTTAGTAGCTGTCATTCGTATGTTTCCTTATTGTTTGGTGTTTATATTTAAGTAAAATTGTGGTGCATACTGGTACTTTCTTAGTTCAGCTTCAAGATTTTACTTTTAAAAGTCCCCCCCCCCCGGCGGATATAACCGAGAGTTTTCGTTAAGAAAATGATTTATTGCTTTCTTTGTTTTTCCTCAAAAGTTATCAAATCATTTGTTCCTTATTCTTGCCCCTTTGATAAATAATTCACATCTTGGTCTTCGACCCTCTCAGTCACTACAAGCGCACCCTAACAGTGTAACGGGATGTATCTATTTATCTATATTGACTCGAAATGGGAGCAGGTTTAAAATTTATTTCTTATTTCAAAAATACTTGTCATGGTAAGGAAGAATTTGCCTCATTGATCATTTACTTTGGTGCTTGAACCTCCATTGTTGATAACGATATATGATTTTGAATAGTGCATGATTTTCACACAACATATGATTAAAAATTAAATTATCATGGACGATTTAACAAGTCGATTGAATGGAATCTGTGTTTATCATGTTAAATTTTAACGAGACATTCGAAAACTATCAAGTGTTTTAATATTGGTAAAGAAACCTCTAAACTAACAAGTGTTATAAAATGATTCATCGACTATTCATATGTTCCAAACTCGTCATTTTTCATTAAAAAATTGGTGGCCTAGTTGTATGATAACATGTTAACTGATATATGATAAAATATGATTCTAGAGCAGTTTGAGTTGTATTTTGTGAATCGACTCTCTTTCTATATTATATCGTCGAGTCAACGCTTGAAAGTAACGATAATACCAATAAATATAATTAAAATATAATTTTATCATATCTCAATCAACATATTAACGTTTAATACAGACAATCATCGAATTTTAGTAAAAAATAATAAATTTAAAATATATAAATAATTAAATAATCATTTTATAACTTTTAATATTAAAAAAAATCAACCAAACAACCTACAATTTATATACTATATCCTAAATTTTTCGTGGAATGCAATAATTATAGCAATAACATGATGCATTGTGGTTCATGAACTTCCATTTCCCTTTTTTTCTTTTCCACCACGTGGTTTTGGAGTTTTGGCGTCAATCACGAGGTTATAGCTGTTTTAATTAAATTAATCCAATAAAATGTATATGTTTTAATGTTTTTTTTTATTTTACATGTTTAATTTCATTTCATTATTATTTGAAGTATTTAATTATTAATAATATTAAAAAATATATTATTCAACAATATTTGAAATTAGTACTTTTATTTAAAAAATTAAAATTATAAATAGTTTAAAATATCTAAATTATCCTAAATATCGATTAACCATTCCCTTATCGTCCTACTTTGTTGTCTAAAACAAAATAATTGTAATAATCAGTTGTTGATCTTAAAATGTATATATTTTACTGTTTTTATTTTTAGAAAATTAATATTAATAAAAAATTAATGTCACATGTCAAGTGACTATTGGTTAATAATTTTTTATGATCCTCGATAGTATAATTTTAAAATGTTAATAATAAAATTTTAGTCACCTTAAATGATAGTAGAATAAACATTAAACACCTACTATGATAAAAAAAAACTAAACACGTGAAAATAACAAAAAACAATTTGTGCTCTTATTTTTCAATTAAGCCTTTGAACTAAGATCTAACATTAAGAATAATGAAATATGTCAAATTAAAAATGGATTAAATCCTAAATCTAATATAGTATTAGTATAGGGACGAAAATTACAATTTGACCAAGAAATTTAACATGTTTCTAAAACTTAACATAACTTCAAAAATTCGTCACTGATTTAATACAGAGTTCATGCAAACGATATGTTTTATTACTACTGCTCTCGTATTCTTCAGTGTAACAGGTGTCTTTTTATTAAATTGAAAGGGTATTATATTCTCAACGTAAACGTTAGTATTCGAATTCATACAAGATAAGATAATATGAGCATACTTAACCGCTCTGCCAACGTTATAAAAGGTCCTTTTTCCATTCCCCTTGACTACATCTACATAATCTTTTACAATGGAACAACAACAACATGCTTGGTTGAGATTCATTAAGATTCTTTCCACTTCTCATCCATTCTTAAAGGGTACAAGAAGTCTTTCACAAGCATTCTTGAACGATTCCGAAATTTTTTCTATGTAATCCTTCGTGGCAGCTTCCAAGTTCAGCCTAAATGTTGGATCGGTCTCGTCCAACTCCATACCACCTTTTCGAGCCTACAGCAGAGATACTCATTAGTCTATGGAAGTAATGCCCCTCATACGAAATGGTGGTTTACACTTCCGGTGGTCAAGGTAACCGGAAAAGGTCTATATGCATTTAGAGCAGATCTCATGACAGAACAACAAAGATTACCTTGGTAGGCAAGGAACCAGAACCAATTGAAACTATGCAGTCAATTTTAGTAT